AGAGATATGAACCACAAGGCTGACTAGAAGGATGTGACAACAATCCAGGATTGATTGAGGCACTGTGATTACAGGAGTGAACAAGTAGTTCTTTTAAAGCCCCATTTGGGTGCTTGCTTAGGCAGCACATATAAAGAACTCCAAAAAACTTAACACTATAAAAAAAATCAAATCAATAATTGTGCTAAGGAACTGAACAAACACTCCACAGAAGTACAAATACAATTGATCAACAAACATATGAAAAAGTATACAACATCTCTAGCAATTAGAGAAATGCAAATCAAAACTACTCTAAGATTTCATTTCACTCCTGTCAGAATGGCAATCATCAAGAATACAGGCAACAATAAATATTGGTGAGGATGTGGGGGAAAAGATACACTTATACATTGTTATTGGGACTGCAAACTGGTGCAAACAATATGGAGATTTCTGAGAAAATTGGAAATGGAACCACCACTTGACCCAGCTATCCCACTCCTTAGTTTATAACCAAAGGACTTAAAATCAGCATACTATAGTGATATAGCCACATCAATGTTTATAGTAGCTCAATTCACAATAGCTAGACTATGGAACCAACCTAGTTGTCCCTCAATAGATGAATGGATAAAGAAAATGTGGTGTATATACTCAATGTAATATTAGTTCAGCTTTAAAGAAGAGTAAAATTATGGCATATATAAATTATTAGCATATGTAGCTTTGGAGAATATCATGCTAAGTGAAATAAGTCAATCCCATAAAATCAAAGGCTGAATGTTTTCTCTAATATGCAGATACTAATTCACAATAAGGCAGGGGCACTAGGGAAGAATAGTGTTACCATCGATTAGGTAGAGGGAAGTGATGGGAGGGGAGGGGAGGGGATGTGGGTATAGGAAAAATAGTAGAATAAATAGACATTATTACTGTATATATATTTATGACTGCATGATCAATATGATTCTGCAACATTTACACTAAGAAAAATGAGAAATTATAACCCATAATCATATCATACACCATATCCATCTATGTATGATATATCAGAGTGCATAAATTCATTCTACTGTCATGTATAACTATTTAAAACAAATTAAAACTTTTTTAAAAATAAATTTAAAAAAATGAAAGCCCCATTTGGTGCCTCTTGTTTTTTGCTACATAATCTGATCTAGTGGGGAGGATTAGAATTTTGTTTTGTTGTAGTTTATTGTTTTACATTCTGAATGTACTTGAAACTGTCTCATCCAACTTCTATGAATTCTCTGTGAAACTCTGTAGTAATGTTCACACCATTCTACAGCTATAATAGATTCAGCATTGCTACTTAAAATGGGAAGTGAACTAGCAGCACAAGCATTACCTGTAAGCCTATTTAACAGGCACAACTCAGGGTCCACCTCAGACCTACAGCTCAGATTTTGTATTTTAATAAGATTCTTAAGTGCTCTATACACACACCAAAGTATGAGAAGAGCTGCTCTACAGTGCTTTGCAATTTTTCAGAATGAGAGGAGCCATACTAAATAGTAAACAGAAGGTACTCAATTTGTACTTTGTGATTTTAGTATATGATTGAGGTAAATTTCACTGCCTATCATCCTCCCAGAGGAGAAATACTCTAGCTTTAATCTACATTACCCATCCCTTCCAGTAGAAATCCACATAAGCACTGGGACTAATCCTAGATAAACAGTCTGAAAACTATCTATTTGTTTTCCATAGGAACAAATCTCATAAAGATTGAGATACCGTGTAAATAACATCTGAATTTAATAATAACTATTATTATTATGAAAATTCTATAATAACAATAATAATAATTATTATTATTATAAAAGGCTGTCACAATTAAAGTCACCAATAATAATCAGCTACCATTTATGGAGTACTTAACAACCTGCATGCTGCACACTGTGATAAATACCTTACAAATACTTTAAACTTTAATGAGGGAGGCATTCCTAAAAGTCTTCCATGGATGAGGAAAATAAGACTTAGAAAAGGCAAGCAACTTGCCCCAAGTAAACAATCAGAAAATTACTACCCAAATTCTAGTGCCATTTAGTTATCTTAAACCTGAAAAATATAATAAATAAGTTTTCTAAAAGGCTTTAGAATCATTACAGTAGGCATTATTAAAATTTTTATAAAGAGAAAATTTGAAGAGAGAGTGCTCAAGTAGAGTAACTTTCTGTGAAAATCACAACGTAGGAAAAAATGCAATTTAATGCACACTTGTAATCCTAGCTACTCAGAGGATGAGGCAGGAGGATGGCAAGTTCAAGGCCAGCATGAGCAACTTAGGAAGACTCTGTCTCAAAATAAAATAATGAGAAAAAAAAAGGGTTGGGGACATAGCTCAGTGGTAGAGCACTTGTGTGAGCTCTGGGTTCAATCCCTAGAACCACACACAGAAACATACACAAATACAATTCAAAATCCCAAATTCCTAAACTATTCTTTTCCCTATTTACCATTATTTTTGAACTCATAATCTACATTTATATTTTCCAGAATTCATCTATAAACATTTCAAGGTTAATGAAGTTTTAAAAAGCTAATATACTACAAGTAGCATTTGTGGTAGCTTTGATAGTATTCAGAGTAGTTATTGCCTTCTACAAAGTTATTTACGTGAAAAAATGCAGAAAATAAATACTACTTAAGGCAGAAGTAAAGCATACATAGAAAACATGTACAAGAAAACTTGCTTATTTTACTTGCTCCCTTAAGTAACAATAGATACGCCTTCACTACAAAACCTGATTAGGGAAACTGAAATGCTTCCATATAGTAAAGAAAATGATAGAAAACAGCTATCAAAAACACGGGTAGCCTAAGGGGCATTTCTACATAAAGAAATCTCCAACCACCAGTGTAGAATTCCAAAGAATCCATTAGCTTTAAGGCAAAAATAATTTTAGAAGCTCTTGCTCCCTGGATAAAGAATAATAATAATGATGTCGACTACTGCATATTTTAATATATGACAATGTGTAAGTTCTCTATGTGCATTATTTCACTTAATCTTTACTATGGAAATCAGTACTACTATCATCTCCATTAATACCTTCACTGATTTAGGATATCCTTTGGTCACATAATTGGTAACTGATGGAGTAAGCTTAAAAATTGAAGTAGACTCTACTTGCTTTTAGCCACTAAGATATACTGTCTCTAAACCATAGGAATAGGACAAGGTTGCAAAGGTAGAATAGTTTGAAAGTACTGAAAACATTTAGAGTTCCAAAGGTCTTTTCTTCCACTGGCCTGAGGCAGAGGTCTGAAAGGTCATTTTGACTACTTATTGGGAACACCAGAACCCACTCTGTGAGTAAAGAGATTGAGTAACTGTCAGTTAATTTCTTATGACCTTAGAATCTTCATTTATAAAAGCAATCACAAACAAAACAAACCAACAAGAAGAAAATAATCACTAAGACTTCTCCCAACTCTAATAAATATCTATTCTATTGCCTTTCTTTGGGTATAAATTCCCCTTTTCCTTTGTACTTTAAATATGTTAATACACCTAAAAGTAGAGGTAGAAACACAAATTGATACAAATTGATTTTTTTCCTGAAAGAGAACCCTATACTCTGGAAGGAGATGTAATAATGAAAGAAAGCAAAACAAAAGGAAAAGACAAGAGAGAAATACACATATATATCTCACAGGTATACTTGTTTCTTATATTATGGACTTCTTATAAGTACTTCTTATATTATGGACTATTTTGGCAATAGCCTATTAAAAGTATTTTTTTTCTTTTTAACCTATGCCTTCCTGCCTCATATAACCTGCCCAATTTTTCTTAAACCAAATAAAGGAGGAATGAGAGTCATCAGTTACCAAATTCACCTACTTCTCAGTTTTGCCTGGTGTATATGAATATAGCAGTAGTGCTGAGCTTCCATGCAGCCTTGGGAATGGAGAGTTACCTTTGCTCAAAGTTCTTCTCCCCACTTAGGTTGGAATACTTCTACAAACGGATTAGGACAATTCCCCTGACATCTGTCCCTCCTCACGTGAAAGTACTGTTGCTCTGCAGGTTACAGTGTAAATGTCTGATCATCCTCAGAGAGCTCAACTCTATTCCCACAGAAGAGGTCCCCAGGAAACTGGCCACTCCCAAGAAACTCTCCAAGGCTCCAGGATGCAAACGCAGAAGTTGGGTTCCTGACGCAGCCTGAGACTTGTAAAGCCTCAAAAGGAATTCCCATAGTGGCCCCAAAGCATTAGCATAAGGCAGGACATGATTCCTCCTTAGAATTCATGGTTTTAAGAACTATCATGGCTCTCTGGGGGGGAAATCAATGGAACCATGGTATGAAACAAACGACCTGGGATATCTTAACACCCTCAACAGGACTGTAGATCCAAGAGAGGATCCCAAGGTGAAATTTCTCAGCACAACTTAAAAGAATTAATTTTGTATTGATAACAAAAGCAAACTCAAAACCAAATACAAGCACATTGTAAAACAAAACCAATTTTCCCAATTCTCTCTGATGCACCCATAACAACCACTTTTAAATTTCTTATAAAAAAGATGCTTAATTTTTAATTTCAGGAGCATTTTCCTTTGCTCTGAGTTCAGGCTTTAGTAGGAGAAAATTTAAGCAGAGGAGGCTTTATACTTATATCAAGAACATCATTTAAAATCCCAGTGCAAAATGATCTATCAAATTAAATGTCACTAAGAAGAATTCCTCCCCCTCTTAGTCATTTCGAAGAGCAGCAAAGATTTTTTACCACTCAGGCTAGAGGGACGCTCCAGGAGGACAACGCGGCTTGACTCCCCAGGCAGGTTGGTTGACGACAGCCAAACCCCCTCGCAAGCCGAGAAGCTCCCGGAGGATCTGCTCTACGTGTGGAACTTCCGTCCCGCGGGCTTCCTCAGTCTCCACTGGGGTCTTCATTTCTACTCCTGCTGTCCCCCGGCCTCGTCCCTGCCCCAGGACCTCACCCCATTCCCCGCCTCCCAAGGCACAGGCACCTGCCTATACCTGCTTCTCCTCGTCCTCAGTCACCGAAACTTGGCGAGGAGTGATGGACTTATTTCTGCTGCCGGGTTCCTGGGCCTCGGCCGTTACCGTGGCCTCCACTGCGGACATGGCTAGAAGCAAGGGGCTAGGGGATAAGTGGGGGGTCCTCCGGTCCTACGCTGTGCCTGAAGTCGCGAGGCCCAGAGAGCTCCCGCCACGAAATACGGAAGGCAGTCTGACAGCCGCTAGAGTCGCAAGAGGCCCCAAGGGACTGGCCGTGGCTTTGGCCACCACAACTCTGCCAACATAGCGCTGCTGCCGCCAGCCAGCGGAGCAAGGCACCTGCCAGCCAGGCAGTTGTTAACACAAGCCAGAGCGTTGCTAGGGGTGGGGCCGAAGGTGGAGGCGAAGGCTCCTACGGAAACCCAGAGAGCCAAACTACTCCAAAACGCAATCTGTTCCTCCACCCGCGAGGGATGAATTTGCAGGTGAGCGGGAGGGAGACCGGTGACAGAGACCTCGGTGCGTAGCGAGGAGGCAGAGGTACGTTCCGCACCGAGAAGGTGTTTCATTCTTGACTGTTTGCTTGGGGCTCTGGGTGTGTGGTGGAGGGGCGGGCACTAGAAATGGGATGCGTTTGGGCGAAATGATGGACAGGTAGTTTTGAAAGCTGAGCAGTTTATCTCACCCCAGAAATATGACCAAATTTACCTAAATTTCCCAGAGAAGAAGAAATAAATTTTCTTCTGTCTTTAGTGGACCCAACGGTTAAACAAGGCTTTTGCATACAACGATAAGCTTTTGAGTCGATTTATTGAGTCTAGAGCGAGTTAACCTTTGAAGCTCTGCTTTTCTCACCTGCTATCAGCCCTCTGTTCTCATAGAATTGTTTTGAGGATTGAATGAGAAGGTAGTGTTTGTTAAATGGTGCTTGGCACATAATAAGCACCCAGTATGGTCAGGATTATCACTATCTTAACTATTACTATAATCTGTCCATTGTATCCTGAGTGATGATGCAAGTTTCAAAACTTGAATAGAAAACTGTTCATGATAATCATCAGTGTGACTTAACTTCAAACACTACGGCTTTGAAAATTAAAAAAAAAAATTCTCTTAACTTTTTTTTTTTAAATCTCCAGAAAGTCTTCAAGATTTAAGTGTGTGTGTCTATATGTGTGTGTTTTTTCTTCTTGTATACATAATAAACTCAATGAAAATAAATGTTACTTCTTGTTACTTTTTTGGGCTTCTCTCTTCATTTTTAGACTTTTTTTTTTTTTTTTTTTTTTTTTGGTGGTGTGCTTCTGTGGATTGAACCCAGGGCCTTATAACATGCCAGGCAAGCACTCTATCAACTGTGCTATATTCCTAGCCCCTCTCCTCATTTTTAGAATGAACAAGTTGATCAGTTATTTCTAAGTTTGCTTCTGACTGAAACACTACATATCTGGCCAGAAAATGGAAATGGAAAGGGTTGGGGGGTGGCGGGTGGGGGTGCATCCTGGGGTTGTGCCTCAGAGATAGAGAGCTTGCCTAGAATGCCTGAGACACTGGGTTTGATCCTCAGTCTCACATAAAAATAAAATAAAGGTATTGTGTTCACCCACAACTAAAACTAAATGTTTAAAAAAATCGAAATGGAAAAAGTAGACTGAATATGGCAGCACGTGGTATAAATCACAGCTGAAGAAAACAAGTTTCTTTGAAGAATTACTAAGCAATATTGTTCCTATTTCTACACTCTGGTCTTCCACTTTCCTCATCCTCAGTCATTGCAAACTGCTTTGAAGTCACCACCACTTGTCAGTCTTAACACTTTTCTGTCCTCATCCTGCTGTTTGTCTGTAATGTTGTACATGTTCACTTCTCATCTCTTCTTGAAACACCCTTGCCTGCTGTTGCATATTCTTTTTATTTTCCTTTTGTCTTTCAGCTACTCATTAGAATCTTTAGAGCTACTCTCAGGCCTTGCACTTAGAGGCTATTTCACTAAGATTACTATCACTTGAAAAGTGCAAAGGGTATGTCTACTATTTTGTTCACATGATTTTAATTGCTGTTGAACAGTGTAAGTATACCAATTTAAAAAAAAGGCTGAAGCACAGTGGAATCCTGTGGAAATGGCACCCAAAAAAATAGAGCAGTGGACAGCTGACAGTTGGATCAGTTGCTTGTCCTTTTGGGCCATCTTGGCATCTCAGGATAAAGAAAGCAAGGAGAGATTGCAAAGAAATCTTTTTCACTTAAAGGAGAGTTTGTCTAGGAGATACCAATTGGCTTTTGTGTTCAGCAACAGCTGGGACTGATAAGGATTCTTAAACTTTAGTGACCCTGAAAAGTCAGACTTTACTTACCGGGCCTCACACTTTCCTAACTAATGGACAATGTGATATTTTGTGTTAACCAATTGTTTACAGACCTACATATTCATTTAGTCATATATCCAGAGTGCCAGTTTCCAATGCTTAGCATAACTCTTATGAACTCCCTCTTTTTAGCATTTATAAAGCCCTTACTTTTTCTCCTCACTGAATGGTGAAGTTCTTTATGGAGTGGGTTCCCTTATCTGGTAAGTTAATACACCCATCTTTGTAAAAAAAAATTTTTTTTGTTCTGGTGGTACATTTTAGTTATTGATAAATGAGAAGCTATAAGGATCACAGTTCTCAAATGCCCCATGTTGGGTCACCTTGATTTACTTGCAGTTTTCCAAGCGTGTTTAACTTCCTGACTTGCATTACTTTTTAATTATGTTGTACAGTCATCCTCCTGAATCCATGGGGTATTGGTTCCAGGTATCTGTCCACACCAAAATCTAAGGATGCTCAACTCCCTTATATAAATGGTATAGTATTTGCATATGACCTACACGTATCTGTCCCATGTGCTACATTACTTATAATATTGATGTAGGACAGAAGAGGTGGGACTAAAGAGAAATTCTCAGGAAGTAGGTTTATTTAAGCTGCAGAAGTCCAGAAGGGCTAATGCCTAGAAATCTCTGGACCCTGGATCTGGAAATTCTTTGAAATTTTTACTGGGGTAGTGGGTATTTACATAACAGCAGGTGGTTACATGTTGGGTATTCTTTGTTCCATATTATTAGGCTAGACAGAGGTTTCACAAGTTTTTTCCAAGGAAAACAGAGACAGTAACTTTCTGTACAAAAAATGTCTCTTTGAGACAGAGTCCATCATACCTTTTGTCTGCAAACTTGACATTTACAAGAAAGAGGAAGCTTCAAACCACAGTGAGCTCTCTGCAGAACACCTGTGAAATCCTAAATTGATACTTTGTAAAATCTTGCTGACAAGGATCTTAATTAAACTCCCTGGAGGAGATTATCTTACAAAGAGGGTCTCTTTGGTGGGCATACCTGGTGGTTGCATCAATAACTAATACTATTGTAAGTGTTATATGAACAGTTATTATAAGTATTGGTTAGGAAATGGTGACAAGGAAAAAAGTGTGTGCATGTTCAGTACAGACTTACTTTTTTTTTCTGAAAAATTTTGCTCAATGGTTGGTTAAAACCACTGATAACGAAACTTGCAGATGCTGAGAGCCAACTGTACCTATCACTATTCTCAAATGGCTAACTCCCTATGAGATTCACCTGACCTTTTCTAAGAAATCTATATCCTGGACTATGTGACTTTCTTTTTTTTTTTTTTTTTTCATACTGACTACATACTTGATGGTATTTACTGATTTAGCAGCCCAGCCCCCTTTCTACTATTGAGATTCTTAAAAAAAAAAAAAAAACTATTGAGATTCCTAAAAGCAAGGAAGAATTGCTTAATCATATTTGCACCCAAACCCTTATGTCTCAGTGGCAGAATGCACACCTTGCATGTGTAAGGCATTGGGTTCTATCCTCAGCACTGTATAAAAATAAATAAAGGTATTGTGTTCATCTACAACTAAAAAAATATTTTTTAAATTAAATGTATGAGAATCATCTGAAGAACTAGTTTAAATAGACTCCTGAAATCCAGCTCCAGAATATCTGCTTCAGTCATCACTAAGTGTGGGGTGAAACACAAGGGTTTATAAGTTTCCAGGTGATGCTGACCAGACTTTGGGACTTTCTGGTCTTGATTATATTAGGTACTCAATAAATGTTCATTAAAGAGTTCAAGGATTATAAATTACTTTAGATCAATCTCAAGCATTTCACACGTTACCCAGAGTAAGGTAAATATTCTAGGTCCTTGCTACTCAAAAGGGTGTTCTTGGACTAAGTACCTGCATAGGTATTACTAAGCCTATTAAGAATGCAGAATTTGGAAATGGATAAAGAACAAGTGGTACATGTACACAACTGAATGGATGGAACTGGAGGCTATCATGCTAAGTGAAATAAGTCAATTCCCCCAAAAAAAACCAAAGGCCAAGTGTTCTCTCTGATATGTGAATGCTAACTAACACTAGGCAGGGGGAGAGAGGAGTGGAAGTTTACAGGATTGAACAAGAGAGAATGGGGGGAAGGAAGAAGGGTTGGGAATGGGAAAGAGAGTAGCATGAATTGGACATAACCTTCCTATATTCATATATGATAAATACACAACCAGTGTTAACTGCACATCGTGTACAATAAGAATGGGAATTATATTCCATGTATGTATGATATGTCAAAATATATTTTACTATCATGTATAATAAATAAATAAATAAAACTATTGGGATGGCAAAAAAAAAAAAAAGTGCAGGATTTGGAGCCTTATGGTGAAGCTGCTGAATCAGAATTTCCTTTTTAATAAGAGCCTCAGGTAATTGGTATTCTCATCAGAATTTGAGAAGCACTGTGTGTGTTCATTATTATTATTTTGGAGTAGTTTTAACAGTTTACATAAAACTGACTTTCACTAATTAATTCCATTTGTGAATTTCTCATATCTTTTTTCCCCTTACTGATGATAACATTGGGTTTATTAAATTTTCTTCTTGGTAAGTGTACCAAACTTAAGCTTTTTTAAAAGCTTTCTCTGTTTAAATTAGTCGTGCAGACTTAATTTTAATTTTTACTCATTGATTGTTTTGTATGACACCAAAACACAGAATAAATGGGTGAAATGATTATTGAAATGGTAAATTAGTTCACCAAAATGGTAACATATTAGTAGAGAAACCCAGGAAAAGACTTACAGCTCAGAGAATAGGAATGCTTCAATCTGATAACAGTTCTGCAGAATTTAAGATATATTAAGAGACAAGTTGCAATTTTCTAGAAGCACATGTAGACAGAAAGTGCTGAGGGCCATTGCCAAGTAGGAATGACGCATCGAAACTTCCTTGCCAGCATACCCCATGTTGCTTAAAGGAAGGACTCCTGGAAATGGACTTGTCATTTGCTGTG